CCCAGGAATTTGGTGTTTTGGTGGAATAAATATTTGCAATATTACCCTTCTTTGGAAAACAACACATCCACTAATACAAAGCCCATATGGCTTTAACCATAGATGCACTAAAGTAACTTGGGTTCCTTTTTCCCTGCAAACTGATTTCATACTGAACATGAAAAGTGACCAACTCTTGCCAGCAGAGGGAGCCAGTTCGCTGTAGCTTGATGAAGACCAACGCTAACAATGAGGTTTGCAATTCAATAAAAACAGATTTTACAATAAATGAAAAACAGAAAATAAATATTTCAAACTAAAATTAGGAATCTTTCAAAGATAAATACGTTAAGAAAAGTGCAATTCATATTTTAAAAAGTTTCTCTAACTCTGAATTTCAAAAAATTCTCAATTGTTTTTTTCCTTACCTTTTTTTTTTTTTTTATATTTATTTATTTTTTTTTTTTTTTGCCCAAATGTGCTTCGTTAGAGGAATCATTTTTTTTCTGGAGAATTCCTAAATATTTTTTCCTAATTAAGGTGAGAAATCAGCTCAGAACTACACTGGAGGAGCTGGTCATTGACCAGAACAGAGCTGGGACCACCGTTTCCATGGTTACTGTTGGTATTACACTAAGAAGTCATGGTTTGAAATCATGTTCCCCTGCTTAAACCAGCACATATGAATGCCGGTGTTCTGTCAGATGAGCATACCTATAGTTAATACCCGTTTATCCTTTTAGATTATATATTTAGTTTATCCCTTTAGTTTTGTATGTAAAATACACTTTAAACTACCTGAGGTAGTCATGTACAAAAAAACTATTTACGTAGGGAAATCACATTTAAATGTAAAATCATTTTGGCTTAAACGTATATAAATGTACTCTTTATCAGACCGTATTTTCAAAAAATTTTGAAAATTTCTATAAAAAAAACAAAATAAATTCTCCCATTTGCAGGTGCATGTTTGGGAGCTGCTGCCTCCCGGTTACGAATGACCAGAGATGATGAAGGAACACAGAGCTGCCATCTGTTGCATCAAAATCAAGTGCGATGAGAAAGCGTGCGTCACAGCCGGCGTTGATGGCGTCATCTGAGGCATGGGGCGAGTGGGAGCATCACACACTGCAGCAGTGGAAGGAAAACACACACATTTGTATATCCTTATGAATCCCTGATCAT